TGCACTGGGCCTCTAGTATGCATATAAGATCTTTGGTTAATCTCTTCCCGCCCTCCCCCTTCCCTCTGAGACTCATCAGTCTGTTCCATGTTTCCATGCCTGTGTGTTCAGTGTCTGCCTCCTGGTGGTCAGTGCACATCATAGCTACCAGTTGAACAGTTGTATAGGCTTTTATGTATATACTAGAGGCCCGTTGCAGGAAGATTCCTGTAAGAATAGGACTTCCTCGGGCCTATTCCTGCAAGAATAGGGCTTCCTGAGGCCAGAGCGAAGCAGAGAAGGGAGCGAAGCCCACCGAGGCTTCTCCGCCGCCTCGCTCCCTCCCGTGTCCGCCGCCTCGCTCCCTCCCGTGTCCGCCGCCTCGCTCCCTCCCGTGTCTGCTGCCTCAGCTCCGTTCCCTTCTCCGCCGCTTCGCTCCCTTCTGCAGTGCTTGGCTTCCTTCTACGCTGTCTTCAGTCTTCGCTCCACACCTGTGTATGCAAATTAACCGCCATCTCTGTTGGGTTAATTTGCATATTGCCCTGACTGGCTGGTGGGCACGGTGGAGGGATGGTCAATTTGCATGTTTCTCTTTTATTTGTGTAGATAGATTCTCAGGCCATACGAAGTTATCAACTTAAAAATTAGCCTGTTATATTTGGTCAAATATTTAATTAACTAACCCCTAATGCCTTGGCAAGGCCAGACCAAATGATTTCATGAGCCTGCATGGCCCGCAGGCCAGAGGGTCCTCACCCCTGTTCTAGATAGAGGCTGCCTATATGAGCAGCTCCCAGTAAAATCCCTGGGCCCTGGCCCCTCCAATGAGCATCCTGGTGACATCATTGCACATGTTGTCACAGCTCACTGCTGGCGGAATTAAGCACTTCCTGTGTGGCTCCACTGGGAGAGGACTCCGGAAGCCTGGCTTCATTTCCTCCAGGCTTCGCCCATGTGCCTTTTCCCTGTGTGGACCTGTGCTGTGCCCTCCCACTGCAGAAAGTCACAGCCAGGAGGACGACTATCCTGAGCCCTGTGAGTCCTAGTAAAGCAGTGGCATGGGGTGGTCTTGGACGCCCAAAACAGGCCTAGACAATGGGAGCAAGTCAACTTGCCTTTATAGACAAGGTCAAACCAGAGCTTCAAAATTCTGTTGGACAACTGGAGCTCTGGGTGCACATGACAACGTGTGCACGTGGCCTGGGGGTCCCAAACCCAGCAGGAAACAGTCGCACGGAGAGTTTTCCGGGCCCACCAGACTTCTGCCAGGGGGTTGGGCCTTTATTTCTTGGACGACTTGACTTGTGGACCTGCCATGTTAAGAGCAGAACTTCCCCAGCCTCCTGGCTGAGCAGCTGGTCACGGGCATGAATCACTGCAAAGCAGCACCCTGTCCTCTTCCCAGCACACACCCGCCTCTCTCAGCTGTCAATTGATCCGTTCCCAGCTGCTGTCCACCCACAAGGCTACAAGGTTCCATGTGCCATGTCTCTATAGCCAGGGTATACACAAAAACATCCTGGAGAAAGACGTTTTGAATACCACATTAACTTTAAAAGTGCACAAAAAAGTGCTCTGTAGACAATAACGTGCTTTACAGAGGGAGTGTATTATTAGGCTTAAAAGGCAGGTGTGAGGCCATAAAATACGTAACACCTTTGATGTAATGCTCCCAGCACTAAGGTATACCTCTAGACTCGCCCTCTAATTACAAGTCACATAAAGGCTGCAAACACATTTAGTTTAGGTTTCAGGTTTCAGTTTGTTGATCTTGAAAAGTAAACATGACCTCCATGTTCACAAGAAACAACTTCATCCGCAAGAAACGACCACGGAATTCCCATCCCATCACGCCTCAGAATTCCTGCCTTACACCCCGGGACCCTCTCCTTTGGGCCTTCCCCTCATCACACATGTGCACATCCCACCTCCACACGAAGCCTATTTGATGTACTTATTTCACCTCCCCGGAACTTCAGGGAGATCTCAGAACTCAACAGGATCTTCAAAATTCTGTTGGACAAAAGTTCTGAATGCATCTGGCACTGGGGGCCGGGGGTCCCACCCTCGGCGGGATAAGAGAGCCCTCTGGGGAGTTTTCCAGGTCCCACCCAGACCACCTGAATCACAAGTTCTACCAACAGGGTCTGGGCCTTTTTCTCTCAAGACTTCCTGAAGCGCATGCCTGCAGACGCACAGGGGCTCCATTTTGGACAAGTATGTCCTGTGGCAGACTGACAAGAGGGTCTGACGAAAGACCTTCAGGAACTGAAGGGTAAGGAGGAGAGTCCATCATCGACATTAGGACAGTTCTCCTGAGCAGCACAGGGTTAGGAGGGTGGAACCACAGAAGAAAATACAATCTAGCATATCACCTGGCTCTGCGTGGATGGCTGCAAAATCTAAAATGGGCTTCAACTTTATAACCAACTACAGGCAAAGGAGAAAGGGCTTCATTGCAGTTAGATAAGCTCACACACATCACCAACCTTGGTAACACAGAGGTACAGGTATAAGAGCTGGAAGTAGGTGGGCAACACAGAGGTACAGGTATAAGAGCTGGAAGTAGGTGGACAACACAGAGGTACAGGTATAAGAGCTGGAAGTAGGTGGGCAACACAGAGGTACAGGTATAAGAGCTGGAAGTAGGTGGGCAACACAGAGGTACAGGTATAAGAGCTGGAAGTAGGTGGGCAACACAGAGGTACAGGTATAAGAGCTGGAAGTAGGTGGGCAACACAGAGGTACAGGTATAAGAGCTGGAAGTAGGTGGGCAACACAGAGGTACAGGTATAAGAGCTGGAAGTAGGTGGGCAACACAGAGGTACAGGTATAAGAGCTGGAAGTAGGTGGGCAACACAGAGGTACAGGTATAAGAGCTGGAAGTAGGTGGGCAACACAGAGGTACAGGTATAAGAGCTGGAAGTAGGTGGGCAACACAGAGGTACAGGTATAAGAGCTGGAAGTAGGTGGGCAGGGGAGACGGGGCGGGGGAGGGGGGGAGATCCAGGGATATGATTTAGAGTTGACAGCACAGAGAAACAGAGGTTTAAGCATATCATTTAAAGCCACAATGGGCCCTAGCCAGTTTGGCTCAGTGGACAGAACATCGGCCTAGGGACTAAAGGTCCCGGGATTGATTCCGGTCAAGTGCACGTACTTGGTTGCAGGCTCGATCCCCAGCCCTGGTCAGGGTACGTGCGGGAGGCAACCAATCATTGTGTCTCTCCCACATTGATGTTTCTCTCTCTCTGTCTCTCCCCCTCCTCTCCACTCTAAAAAAAATTGATGGAAAAATATCCTTGGGTGAGGATTAACAACAACAAAAAGCCACAACGGTACACAATAAAATTACTAAATAGCAATTTGATACAAGTAAGTTGGAAAGTAGAGAGGCAAGGTGACTTGCTCAAAGTGAGCTCGTTAGAAAGTTCTGAGGCCAGTGCCCTCACACGGCCCTCACACTCCAGACCCAAGTTCTTTACCAGAATCTGGAGGAAGTCATGTGTCCACCTGGTTACGGGCAGAGCCGGAAAAAGAAACCAGTTCTCCAGCTTTAACATTATTTGAAAAAGTCATTACTACAATTTTCAGGAAAGACCATTTTGAAAATGTCCCTACCTGCTCATTCTTTCAACACACACCAGACATTTCTTAAAAAGAACCCCCCACTTAGACACACTGCCCACCTCTAACCAGCGCTGGGCCTGCTCGCCAACTCCGCACCATGTGGCAGAGGAAGCTGCCTCTCCTGCTCGCGGCTGTGGAGACATCAGCCCACTAGCCAGTGTCATTCAAAACCCGACAGAGAGCTCACGGCATCCACACTGAAGACACAAAGCCCGCTGCCTGCTCGCCTCTCAGCCCAGAGACTGAGCCACCAGGCAGGGGCCAGGCCATGCCCCACGCACACAGCGAGAGCGGCTGCTCCAGACACGTGTGGAGGGCACTGCTCCGCTCACGGTGACCCAGTGCACAGACCGGGCTGTGGAGAGGTGAGACCACTCAGTGACGGCCTCTTTATACTGCATAAAAAGTTGTGAAAAATTCAACAGAAATAATTTCTACTAAAAAATAATTCTTTAAAAAGAAAATATAACCGAAATGAATTAGTACTTGTAAAAAGCATTTAAAAAATTTCAATACAAGTCACTGTTGCTCACCCCATTCTCAGCACGCTTTTCTCCAGGCACGTTTATTACATTCCTCTGGGTTCTCTGCTCTTGGGTCTGACGGCCACCTAAAGAAATGAGAGGACCAAACTTACTAAAAATATACTAGAAAAACCATGTTCTCTTTTTAAGGACAATTAAAAAATATTTTTATTGATTTCAGAGAGGAAAGGAGAGGGAGCGAGAGATAGAAACTCCAATGATGAGAGAGAATCACTGATGGGCTGCCTCCTGCACGCCCCCAAATGGTGAGCGAGCCTGCAACCTGGGCATGAGCCCCTGACCAGAATTGAACCCGGACCCTTTCAGTCTGCAGGCCAACGCTCTAGCCTCTGAGCCAAACCGGCTAGGGCAACACCATATGATTTCACTGATGTGTGAAATCTAAAGAACAAAACAAACAAACAAACAGCAACTGACTCACAGACACAGAGCACAGTCTGAAGGCTGCCAGATGGGAGGGGGTTGGGTCTGGGTGAAAACGGTGAAGGGATTAAGAAGTACAAACTGCCAGTTAGGTAACAGTCCCAGCACAGGGAACGCAGTCAGTAAGGCTGCAATAACCAGGTGTGATAGCAGGTGGGCACTAGAATTACTGAGGATCACTTTGTAAACTACATGCTTTCCTTACGACTCCAGACAGCTCTCTTAAGTATCCCTAACACTTCTAAACGTCGTAGAGTGAGAAATGAGACCTTCCCCCTCACCTCACCAGCACAGGACATGGAGGGTTATGCACACATATTGTAGTGATAAGAGTGGAAAGTAAAGCTGCTTGCGCAGAGCTAAGGAAGGGAGGGCACTTGTATGTGGAGGGCTCGGGTAGAGGGTGCGCATGAATTCTTAGGCCGAGAGTACTGCTGTGGGACTGCACGGAGCCAGCAAATCCCTGCAGGAGGGGCTCTGGTCTGAGGCAGAAGGGGATGAAGAGCTAGACCTGCAGCCTTGGTCTCCTGACCCCGGATGCCCAGCAGCCAGTGGAGTGAAACCCACAAGAGATGGTGCCCTGTAAACCAGCTGTGAAAGGGGCTCTTAGAGAGTGAGCACCTGAGGGCACAATGTCCTGTCATGTAAAACACAAATAAAGAGGAATAACTCGCATAAAGAAATCTTTTTACAGAAGGATATCTTTTTGCTGTTGATTTTTTAAAACAGCAGAAGTAATCCACAATCACTGTCAAATAACAAGTTAAGGGTCTCTTCACTGTACAGTTTATATCAGCGGTTCTCAACCTGTGGGTCGCGACCCCTTTGGGGGTCGAACGACGCTTTCACAGGGGTCTCTTAAGACCATCGGAAAACACATATATAATTACATATTGTTTTTGTGATTAATCACTATGCTTTAATTATGTTCAATTTGTAACAATGAAAATACATCCTGCATATCAGATATTTACATTACGATTCATAACAGTAGCAAAATTACAGTTATGAAGTAGCAACGAAAATAATTTTATGGTCAGGGGTCACCACAACATGAGGAACTGTATTAAAGGGTCGCAGCATTAGGAAGGTTGAGAACCACTGGTTTATATGCTTTCAGAAAAAAAATTCCCTTTTTTGGGTTAAATTTTAATTCTAAAAGAGGTAGTATATTCCCAAAGTTCAAAATGCAAAAGGAACAAACAGATAAACGATAAACAATCCCCAGCTTCTTTTTTGATATCAGATATTTACATTACGATTCATAACAGTAGCAAAATTACAGTTATGAAGTAGCAACGAAAATAATTTTATGGTCAGGGGTCACCACAACATGAGGAACTGTATTAAAGGGTCGCAGCATTAGGAAGGTTGAGAACCACTGGTTTATATGCTTTCAGAAAAAAAATTCCCTTTTTTGGGTTAAATTTTAATTCTAAAAGAGGTAGTATATTCCCAAAGTTCAAAATGCAAAAGGAACAAACAGGCAAATGATAAACAATCCCCAGCTTCCTTTTTGTAATCCTCACCCAAGGGTATGTTTTCACTGAGAGAGAGAGAAACATCGATGTGAGAGAGAAACATTGATCGGTTGCCTCCCGTACGTGCCCCGACGGGGGATCAAATCCACAACCTAAGTTTGCGCCCTGACCAGGAGTCAAACCCGCAAACTTCCGTGTATAGGATGACACTCCAGCTAACGGAGCCGCCTGGCCGGGCGTTGCCAGTTTCTCAGTGCCCTTCCAAAGACACTTCAGACACGCCCCAGCCAGCATGGAACCAGGACGCTGTCTCTGTCACACAGAGGCCCCGTGTGCATACTGCTTCCCATGGTGCTTAGCCGCGTGGTGTGTCCAGGACCTGGGTCGGGGCACATGGCTCGCAGTCACGGCTGTGAGCAGCCCACTGTTGGATGCAGCACGATTTTCAGCCCAGTGCCCCCGTGGGCATGTGGGCTGTTCCCATCGGCGGTGCCCATGAGTGACCGTGTACCCACCATCCTGTACGTGTGTAGCACAGCTGTAGGGCGAGTTCTCAAAAGTGAGATCGCTGGGTGAAAGGGTTTGTGCTTCTGTAAGCGGAACAGATATGCCCAAACTGCCCTCTGCAAAAGCTGTCGCCTGGCACTCCCACGGACACATGGAGAGTGCCTGTGCCCAGCGTCCTCCCAACACTGTTACTAGGTGTCCCACCTTCGCCAGTGGACAGTTCTCCATTGTTAGGATGAGGCTGGACGTCCTGTCACATCCCAGGGCCACGACACTCTCTCTCCTGAGAACTGCATTTTTGTATATATTGCTCATTTTTTTAAACTGGGTTTTACTTTATTTCACTTTTTGTATCGATTTGTAGGAACTCTTTATATGTAAAAGAAACCAGCCCTTTGCTAATGAGCTACATAAATGCTATTTCCCAGTTTATAATTTGTCTTTTGAAATTGCTTAAGGTGGTTATTGCCAAACAGTTTTTGCTTTTTTAGTAATTCAGTTTGTCTTTTCTTTTTTGGTTTATTGCTACACTTAGAAAGGTCCTGTCCACTTTAAAAATAAAAGATATTTCTCAGCATTTTTCTAATCCTTTCATGGCTTTATTTACTCTTAAGCCCTAGATATTTGATCCATCTGGTATCTATCAAAAGCAGTTCCTTTGAACAGCATGTCTGAGCGCATTCCTGGGCGGTGGTCCCGAGAGGGAGCCAGGGCGAGGCGCCTGGACTGTGGAATAACTGAACTCCAAGCACAGAGGTCAGAGGAGTGTGAGACACCAACTCTCCTTCTCACACTGAGTGAAGGGCAACACAGCATAGTAGTTTATTTTAATACTTATTCCTATTTTTAAATTAAATTTTATGGCAAAATTTAACAAAGGGAGGGAAAGCACTCATTTACCTTGCTCACTGCTCTCGGTCGGGGAATCCTCATGTCGAAGAAAAAATTTCACTTCTTCCCTCCGCGGCCCCCACTTCTGAAGATGCTCATACATCATGTGATCAAAGGGTATGGGGCGCTCTGGAAAAAACACATCTCATTTATCTCAGAAACAAACAACGTAATTCCTACCCAAAGCACAAAATAAAGATAAATTTAAATAAATACACACATGAATTAGAATTCAAGAATATTATAAGCACTAAACTTTAACTTTAATGAAATAAAGCAGGAATATGAATGGACAATAATGTAGGTAACTAATAAGCACAAGAAGTAAACATAAAAGCAATTTTCCAACATTAAATAGGGAACACTGGGGAAAATGCCCTTCACAGTCTTTGTCATGAAGCAGTATGCCTCCCCCTCTTCAAAGGAACGTATCAAAAACTGGTGGGACCTGTTATTCATTAAAATGCTGCACGTGGTGATCGGACGTACGGAGGAGGGGCAGCACCCTGCCTCGCAATGCAGTGAGCCCACACAGCACTGCACACAGCCGCTCCCGCAGCATTATTCACAGGAGCCCGAAGCGGAAACAACCCAAATGCCCATTAACTGATGGATGGGTGAATAAGATGTGGTCCATCAGACAACGTGACCATCAGCCCACACCAGGATTAAGTACTAACACAGGCTTCCAACATGGATGCGCCTTGAGAACATTATTCTAAGTGTAAGCAGCCACATAGAAGAGGCCACACACTATGATCCCACTTATACGAGGGCCTGGAGTGTCAAGTCCACAGAGCAGGGGTGACACCGTGGCTGAGTTTGGTGCAGAGTTTGGTGATGGTTGCACAACACTGTGAACGTCCTAAAAACCACTCAACTGTACACTTTAAAATGGTGATTTTATATTATGTGAATTTTATCTCAATTTAAAGGGGAAAAAATGAAATCTTGAAATATTCCCACTATTGCTTTGCTTGACAGTTTGAGAAAGGATACTAGCAAGTCCCAAGGCTTGTAGAAATGGTCTGGGGAGATACAGAACAAAATGGAACAGTATTTTCCCTCCCTTCTGCTCAGTCTGAGGACTTGACTTTTAGGCAAGAGAAAGGACTTGGGGAGCGCACCCTATCATACAAGCAAGGGGTGATGCAGGTGCCCTCAATAAGTTCTAGGTTCCCATAGGAAGGACACCCTGCCCCTCTGCTCCTGCTCAGCTGGAACAGGGGCGTCTGGCGGGACATACAGCGGTCTTCCCTTGTGGTTTAGGAGGGCGTCCTGAGTATAGGGCTGGCTCTTAAAGGCACAAGAGGACAAGTTTAAAAAAGAGAGAGAAGAAAATCCTGTCACTCCTAGAGACATGACCACACTGTGCTGTGGCCTTGCGCCTCCTGCGTGTGCAGGCAGCTTCGCCTCACTCGGCAGACTTGAGGGCAAGGACAGAAATGGTCGCCTCTCTGCTGAAAATGAAATCTGTGAGCTTAGCTCAAGTGCAACTCAGAATGGGTATCACAGCAAAAAACGAGCACCAACTGAACAATAAAGAAGTAAAAATTATTCCGTAGTTTAGTTTTGTAAGTAACCCTCATGTACATAGGCCTATAAAAATCTATTGTTTTCTCTTACGAATTAACAAAATTTATAGAAAAGATTAACTTCAAGAAAAGTCCACTAAGCGTCACTCCCTTTATTTACATAAGAAGGTTCAGTGGTTGTTTCAAAGTGGAAACACACTGCCCGACACCGTCCTGTGACACACAGCGCATGCACCTCCTCAGGTGAGCCTCGGGTCCTTGGATAAGGCAGAGAGAAAACCAAGCAGGAAATCCCACAAAAGGAAGCACAAAGGGTCTACCTTCCCTCCTGTCAGCATGCGAGGGGACACTGTGTGGGGAAGGAACCACAAGAGCAGGGAAATAAACCGCAAGTTAACAGACTGTCACGGGCTGAGCTGAGTTCGTATGCTGAAGTCCTAACCCCCGAGCCTCAGAACATGACCTCACTGGGAGATAAGACCTTTGAAGAGGTAATAAGTTAGTGAAGCCATTAGGATGGCCCTAATCCAATATGACTGGTGTCCTTATAAGAGGAGGTCAGGACAGAGACACGGAGAAGGTGGCCTTTGACAAGCCAAGGAGAGAGGCCTCAGGAGAAACCAAGCTGGCTGACACCGTGCCTTAGGCCTCTGGCCTCCAGAATCGAGAAAATAAGTTTCTGTTGGGTAAGCCTCCAGGCTGTGGTACCGTGTTATGGCAACCCTGGCAAACGAATACGCAGGCCCACAGAAAACTATTTTCTTCCCAAAGGCATTGGCAACCACACTGGATGACATCTGTGACGTAACGATCGCACTGGCATGCCGTGAGTCACAGATGCAGTGATTGTTACGCAGGGGTTCTCTGAAGCCCAAACATTACTTCAAAGGTTCCTCTAAGGCAGTGGTTCTCAACCTTCCTAATGCCGCGACCCTTTAATACAGTTCCTCATGTTGTGGTGACCCCCGACCATAAAATTATTTTCGTTGCTACTTCATAACTGTAATTGTGCTGTTATGAATTGTAATGTAAATATCGGATATGCAGGATGTATTTTCATTGTTACAAATTGAACATAATTAAAGCATAATGATTAATCACAAAAACAATATGTAATTATATATATGTTTTCCGATGGTCTTAGGAGACCCCTGTGAAAGGGTCGTTCAACCCCCAAAGGGGCCGCGACCCACAGGTTGAGAACCGCTGCTCTAGGGTAAGAGATTGAGAAAGGCTGTTGGCTATAGAGCTCCCCCTTCCTTTGCATCTCATGTACTCGGACATATCTCCTCAAGACCCCGCGCTGCTGCTCCACTTCACTCAGTGACCTCAGTGTTTGCTAAGGGCCTGTTATGAGCACCAGGCGGGCGCTGGGGATACCATGGTGAAGAGACAACTTCCCACCTCCTGGGATTTAGTCTAATGAGCGCCATGAAGGCTACTTTGTCATGTTCTAATAAATCCTATGGCAGCACTGGAGCCCGGGGGAGGGACATTTAACACCCTCCAGGATTCAAGGAAGGGACGAGAGGCAAAAAGCAGAACTTAGCCAAGCAAAGCAGGGCGAGTGCCAGGGATTCTTCTAGACAACGGGAAGAGCATGTGGAACAGCCATGGCAAATACAGCACGCCGTGACCCTCTGCGCTCCGAGGTGACCGTCCTCATCGTGATGAGATAAAGTCACAGGTTATGATTTCAAATGGACTTGGGGACCAGGCCAATATCCCTGATGAACTCAGATGCAAAAATCCTCAACAAAAATATTAGCAATCCAAATTCAACAATACATTAAAAAGGTGACACATTATGATCAAGTGGGATTTATTCCAGGGATGCAAGGTTGGTTCCCACAAAAACAAAATAAAGGCTAAAAATCATATGATCACATCAATAAATGTGCAAAAAAAAAGCATTTGACAAAATTTAATATCCATTTATAATAAAAACTCTAAGCAAAATGGGAGTAAAGGGAACATACCTCAACATACTAAAGGGCATACATGACATACCCAGAGGTAACATACTCAATGCTGAAAATCTGAAAGTGTTTTCTCTAAGATCAGGAACAAGACAAGGATGCCCAATCTCACCACTTTTATTCAATATAGTATTACTGTAAGTCCTAGCCACAGCAATCAGATAAGAAATAAAAGGCATCCAAAGTGGAAAGGAAGAAGTAAAACTATCATTACTTGCAGATGACATGATACAATATATATATAGAATACCCTAAAGATTCCACCAAAAAACTATTAGAAATAATAAACGAATGTAGTAAAGTTGCAGGATACAAAATTAATATTCAGAAATTGGTTGCATTTTTTATACATTAATAATGAACAATTAGAAAGAATTTTTTTAAAAATTCCATTTACAATTGCACCAAAACAATAAAATACGTAGGAATAAATCTAACCAGGGAGGTAAAGTAGCTATACTCTGGAAACTACAGTATATTAACGAAAGAAACCGAAGAAGACACAAATAAATGCAAGGATATATCATGCTCATGGACTGGAAAAAATATCATTAAAATGTCCATATGAGCCAAGGCAATCTACAGAGTCAATGCAATCCCTGCCAAAATACCAATGACATTTTTCACATAACTAGAACAAACAATCCTAACATTTATATGGAACCACAAAAGACCCCAAATAGCCAAAGAATACTGAGAAAGAACAAAGCTGGAGGTATCAAGCTACCTGTTATCACACCACACTACAAGGTTATAACAATCCAAACAGCATGATACTGGCACAAAAACAGACAAACAGATCAACGGAACAGAATCGGAGCTCAGAAATAGACCCATGCTTATATGGTCAATTAATCTATGATAAAGGAAGCACTGGAGTAAAGTAAAGTAAAGTAAAGACAGTCTCATCATTAAATGGTGCTGGGAAAATTAGACAGATAAATGCAAAAAAATAAATAAAACTACACTGCTTTCTTACACCATATACAAACAAACTCAAAACGGATTAAAGACTCAAATGTAAGATCCGAAATCATAAAACTCCTAGAAGCCATAGGCAGTAAACTCTTTGACATCACTCTTAGCAATATCTTTTTGGATACGTCTCCTAGGGCAAAGACAACAAAAACAAAAATAAACAAAGAGGACTACAGCAAACAAAAAAAGCTTTTGCCCCATGAAGAAAACCATCAACAAAACAAAAAGGCAACCTACTAAATGGGAGAAGACATTTACAAAGGATACATCTGATAAGGGGCTAATATCCAAAAGAGATAAAGAAGTCATACAACTGAAAAGAGCAAAGAGTATGATTAAAAAATGGGCACAAGACCTGGATAGACAGGTCTCCAAACAGGACACACAGATGGCCAGACACATTAAGAGATGCTCAATGTCACTCATTAATCATCAGGGAAATGCAAATAAAAACTATGATGAGCTATTACCTCACCCGTCAGAATGGCTACCATCACAGACAACAAACAACAGGGCGATGACAATGTGGAGAAAAGGGAACCCTCATGCACTGTTGGTAGGAATACAAACTGTTACAGTCACTATGGAAAACAGTATGGAGGTTCCTCAAAAAACTAAAAATAGAACTACCATATGCCCAGCAATTCCACTTCTGGGTATTTACCTGAAGAAATCGAAAACACTGCTTTGAAAGGATACATGCGCCCTTATGTTCACTGCAGCTTATTTACAACAGCCAAGATATGGAAGCAACCTAGGTGTGCATCGATAGACAAGCGGATAAAGATGACGTGGTATGTGTATACAAAAGAAAGAAATCCAACCATATGGGACAATATAGATGGACCTAGAGAATATTATGCTAAGTGAAATCAGTCAGACAGAGAAAGACAAATACCACATGATTTCACTTATATGTAGAACCTAAAAAACAAAATAAATGAAAAAACAGAACAGAAACAAGCTCACAGATACAGAGGATAAACTGATGGTTGCCAGATTGGGGGTGGGGGGCTGAGGGGCTGGGTGGTAAAGGTGAAGGGGATTAAGAAGAACAAATTGCCAGTTATAGACTTAGTCACAGGGATGCGAAGTACAGCACAGGGAATGTGGTCCACAACATTGTAATAACTATGTGTGGTGCCAGGTGGGTACGAGACTTATGCTGATCACGTTATACAGTGTCTTATCACTGTGTTATACACTTAAAACTAATATAATATTGTATGTCAACTATAACAAAAATAAAAAGAGTGCTAACTTCAGCAGCACGTATACTAAAAGTGGAACAATACAGAGAAGATTAGCATAGTCCTTGTGCAAAGATAACAGGCTGATTCATGAAGCATTCCATATTTTTTATTGCATATTTGAAAGTTGCTAAGAGAGTAGATCTTAAAAGTTCTCATCTCCCCCCAAATATTCCATAACTGTGTATGGTGATGGATGTTAAGTCGACGTATGGTGGTGACCATTTTGCAATATATGCAAATATTGTATCATGTTGTACATCTGAAACTAATAATGTTGTCAATTATACCTGAATTTTTAAAATGTGGGGCAAAAAATACAGGACAATTTCACTGATTATCTCTAGGTGCCCTTTAAACACTTCCATTTGGATGCTCATCTCATATCATCCTGAACTCAAAATGTCCCAGCTGATCACTCTCCTACTTTCCAACACAGACCGCCCAGCGGCCCCCTCCTGCCGCAGATGAAGGAAGGCTGCCCTCTGCCCAGGCTGCGTGAGCTGGTCTAGTCTCCACCCTGCTGCCCACCTTCTCTCAACAGTCTCAGGCGCACACACATTTTCCCTCCCCCATCCTTCGCACTGTGCCCCGCTTAGAATATCCCAGTCTATCTAAATCCAACCCTTCCTTTAAGAGTCCAAATTGTTTGGCAGAGTTTCCTGTATTCAGCCATCATATTACCTACACTGCCCAACTAGCGGACAAGGTCCTTCAACGTGGTACCAGTATTTATTTACTCGTCTCACTTTAATAAACACATATTTATGGAGGACCTACGATTATACACAGGAAACACAGTAATGTTCTGCCTTCACGAGGTTATATTCGGTAAAAGTAGATGACACGCTTGACAGGTGACACACCAAACACTGTAGGGCAGCAGTGGTATCAGGAAAGACTTCCCAGAGCTGGACCACGGCCCTGCTTGCTTCGGGTGTCTGCAGCAAGGGTCAAGTCACAGAACACCTTTGTATGAACAGCATTTGTAAGACCCATCCCCCTGTAATACCATGCTACCTTTATTCTAATCACCCAATTCCTTATTACCACAGAAAGATGGAAACCAGAAGCAATGCTGTGCGCTTGATGACCACCGAGTCTGAGGTCCTCAGCCTCTGAGAGCCGCACACATACCATTTCCCCTCCACACTTCAGCCAAGTGGCAACTGCCTTCCCCAGGCTCCTTGCAAAACTCCACGACATCTCGACACGTCGTTTCTGGTGTCACAGGAACTTCGGTCAAAATCTGTTCATTGTTGCTCAAGAACACGGTTAGTATCATCTATAAGAGAAAAGATGAAGTCAAAGCTACAACTTAGAGTCATTATTGTAAAGAGATTAATCTGTAAATGGAAAGCAACTCCCCACCTCCCCACAGCCACTCCACTCCCCTCCACCCCCACTCCCACCCCCA